TTATGTTTACAAAATATTGAAATATATATATATATATATATATATATATATATATATATATATTGCCATATATTAACAGAAAATAAATAAAAAATTACCTTAAATTACAATACGTTACGATAAATAACGATGCATTACTATAATGATTACCGTAATGAACCTTTCTGCAGTGTCCTTTTCCACCTCTGTGCTTTCTCCTCCCACTAATATAGTCCTCCAATTACTCTTCCATTAGCACTTTTCATTTTGCATTTGCTCCTACTAATAGTCATTCAGTTGTTCCTCCCATTTAAAGTGTTTCACCCATTGCACCTTCCTCTTTCCCCCTTTCTCCTCATACTTTAGATGAAGACTTAGGTGACAGGTTACTTCATTATAAACTACAGTATAATTTATACAGCAAATTTTTTTCTTCATTTGAATTGAAATAAATGAACTTCTGATTTAATCTGAATTATGACTTAGTTAATTATTATAATACCTTTGATTTTGCATATTATTAATGAGGAGATTATATAAAAAAATGTTTCTTGCTGGCATGATGTATCAGGTCAGCCTGAAGTTCCTATAGAGTAAAAACAACTGTACTTAGCTAGCTTTCTGATTAACCTATTATTTTTCATGATTATGTTATGATTATTCATGATTATGCTATTATGATTATGTATGATTATGCTATGATTATTTAATTTCTGATTAAACATGATTATGCTATTACTCATTATTATCCTATAATTATGATTATTCATAATTGTATATTTCTATAAATTACAGATAATTATGCTATTATTTCTATTAGATTATTTAATGTTATATAATTGTATAGTGGTGTTGGTATTGTTGACATCATGTTCAACATTGTAAATATAGATAATTCCTTAATTATATAATCACAAAACGTATGAAGATTGTAGATATACATTATATAAAATATTATTTGTTTTGGAAAGTGGGAAACAACTAGATTTAATGCATATTTATTTAATACAGTAGTGAAACAAATGTACTAAAACTTTATCTTTATTTAAATTGTATTTGTGAAATAATTGGTGGAGATACCTCATTGTCCATAATGAACAATTTTTTTTTTTTTTTTTAAATATATATTTTAAGCTGCTCAACTATTTTTCTAGACGTCTTTTTTCCATAACATAATCTGATTGCCTCGGACATTATTTCTACTCCCAGATATGATGGCTCTAATTTCCTAGCCGTATACCATTAATATCAAGTTATGCTAGAAAAAATCATTCTCTACTTCTACACTTCTCCTCAGCTTTGCCTCTCCTCCACTACCAATATGCTGGCAATTTTCCTACTGATCCTAAATGGAGTCTATTTTATTGATTATATATTAGTATTATTCTGTATATGAAATATTATTAAGATCAAAGATGTATCGCTGCATTTCTACTTATTCCTTCTTTAGTGTCACATATGCCTATACCTGTAATTGGGAAAATATCTTTATTTCACTACAGTATATTGTCCTGTTTCTTTGCCATAACATAAATTTCTCCATCTTTAACGTAAAATACTACGCAGTATATAAAGCTCTCAAATTTAGGATGAATTGCATATCTGCCTCTGTGACCCCTTCTTAAAGTTTAAAGGTCATGTAAATCTCTTGAGTGTAATTACAAGAGGCTAGGGAGCCTTTTAATTGTAGGAGGCTAAAGGAGAATTTTTGAGCATTAAAAGTGATAGTTTTTGTGTAATTCAAGTTATACAGTAGTTCTATTCTAACAGCCACAGTGTGTGTGCACTCTTAATCTTTAAACGATGATGCATCATACCCAGTCATAGGGTAGACATCAGGATGTTTAGTTTTTAACAGGCATAGAATATTAAATTCTGGCTCACCAAACTTTTATTGTTGAATATTGGACTACATCTGGAAACATTACTTATTGAAAAACACATTTTATGTTGCTTATTTAAAGGAGAATCACCTTAAATGTTAGTGTTAAAATTATCACACCTTTGTAGTTACAATCATCAAAAATATATACTGCATTGTTTGTGTAAAGCTAATTAACTTTAAATAAATTATATTTTAATTGCTTAATTAATAAAGTTATTGGATTTAAGTTGAGAAAATGAAGAACATATTTTTATATTCTGTGAATAGGTCCTTAGATAGGTTGGTGATCTATTTAAAAAAATGTAATTAAAAAAAACCCTCTGTAAATCACTGAAGACGGAATGGATCAAACTGGAATGTCAATCACAGTTTTAACTGACCAATCAGAACGGTGCAAGGAATACGCAATTTCCACCACAAAGGTGTTCCACAAACGCACGTGTCTGTATACGTTTATGGTATCATTTTGTGGGACAGACTTCAGCAAAAATATCCAAGAGGTGGGGCTAAGTGGAAGTGGTCCATTATTGTTTTAATTTGTCTTATTGGAAGTCGACAGTTATTTGGTCCATTTAAAATGAGTACAGTAATATAATATTTTATTTTAAGTTTCTGAGAGGGTTTTCAGGTTTCAGCACTGTGTTTTAAAAAGTCATTCATCCTATATATATGACCAGCACATGACACATACCATATTTATCAATAATTATCATGTTATCTTCATTTATTTTTATATAGTTAACATCATTATTATCATTTATTTGTAGTAAATCTTTAAATATTATTTAGATTTCACAATAATTGATTAACATTGCATCATATATATTGTAAACAAGCTGTGAAACCATTTTATGCGGTAGAAATGGGAAAGAAAAACATGTTTTATTTGCAATGGCCTCAAAAATATAACAAACTTGATGCCTTATGAATTGGACAAAGAAAATCCATAAAGGTATAACAAATATATTCTATAAGAATGAATTATAATGGTACAGTATATGTTGCGTACAATTTAAAGTTGATTTTGAATCAATGTCATGTATTAAATTGGAATTGTTTATTTTTTTGTGAGTTAATTATTGAAAATGGTTCTCATTTGCAGCCAAGTTCTTGCTTGGAAATATTATTATATTATTCAGAACATTGATAAATAAACCTGCTATGTGGATAGAGAGAAGAATCCAATGTTATGTGATCATTGTGAATGTCTTTTTTTGTGTTTATATTTATTTACAATATTTAATCAGGGTGGCTCAATCAGTCAAAAATACTTGTCTCCGTTGGGGCCCATAGAACAAAGTTAAATTTACAATAAAATACAAAGACAAAACATCAAAAGTGAAAAACAATACAGTTATAATATATCTTTCATAGTGTGAATGTGTACACAGAATTTATGATTAATAATCACCTATCATACATATATAGTCCATATATGATCCATGGTTCATAATTGTTAAATGTGCTGATTTCATCCGCTTATAGCATCAGGATGGGCAGACATACAATTTCAATGTCATTGTTATATCATCATTTGATTATAGCAAAATTAGAGCAATGCTTCGGGCCAACTTTGGTTGAGTTAATAAACTTAAGCTGGGCAAAATCTCAATCAGCTCTCTGTCGGTGATTGACGAAGTGACAACTGATTTTCGGTGGCAGTCAGAGCAGATCGTTAATATTAAAGACGATTTGTTGCATGCACATTGTCGCGTTGCGTTCTCACTGTGACTGAGGGGCGTTGTGTGCACGGATTTAGATAATGATTATTCAATATTTCAGTTGCTTACTTTATTTGTTTTAATTGAAATTAAAAAGACATAAGAATAATAGTTATCATTTTGGTGATAAATTGTGGCAGAGGCATCCTCTGTGTTATACCATCATCCATATTCATCAGTGTCATAGCCTATTATTTCTGCAGCAGCAACTTGTCTGTCAAACCACTGTTGTGTTTATCAATGGCATAGCCTCTCATCTCTGCAGAGCCATTCTCTTAGTTGCATTATAAGCACTACCATCTATGTTGATAAATGGCATACAGTATCCTCTCATCTTTGCATTAGCATCTTCCCTGTTGGAACACCAACTATAATCAATGATTTCTGTTGCATCACTCTGACCAGACATTTAGCTCTCATCTCATTAGAGGAATTGCTTCTGGCCTGACACCATCAGCATTACCAATGTAGTAGCCTCTCCTCTCTGCTAATGAGACATTGTAGTGAGTCATCACAATGGGTGCTCCATTCTTGTTGCCACCCCTGACAATCCACAGACTTGCTTGATATTTATATCTTGTAGGTAGTATAGTGGGTTTTTAAACAAAATTATTTACAAGGTTAAATTTTGGAAAGAATGAGTAATTGAGGCAATTACTAATGACTTCTGGCTTTTCCTTCCTCCTGCCAAATCACTGACTCTTGCAACTTGTGTTGTGAATTACGCAGTGATAACAAACCCCAGCAACTTGAGCCTAGGTTTGTGTTTCCTACAATTTTCATCAACACTTACAAAATGCCTTGTTGTTACCTACAAGTTGTTACTGTATTTTTCTGCAGTTGTATTTTACAGCTACTTTCACATCAAAGCCTGGATCCGGTCTGGCTCCTGGACAAAAATTCGTGAAAAATGGGTTCAGTGGTAAAGAAGTACCGTTCACATCAAATTCCCAATCCAGACTCTGATTCCGGACCGATGGATCTGAGAGCCATTTGTATTGTGAAATTGTACGGTTTTTTTCCTTGGACCAATCAGCAACAAACGTGTTTGCGTGAACGTAGCTTAAGTCAGGCTCCGGGGCTTGATGTGAACGTAGCTTAAGTCAGGCTCCGGGGCTTGATGTGAACGTAGCTTAAGTCAGGCTCCGGGGCTTGATGTGAACGTAGCTTAAGTCAGGCTCCGGGGCTTGATGTGAACGTAGCTTAAGTCAGGCTCCGGGGCTTGATGTGAACGTAGCTTAAGTCAGGCTCCGGGGCTTGATGTGAACGTAGCTTAAGTCAGGCTCCGGGGCTTGATGTGAACGTAGCTTAAGTC